TTAATATAATAAATATATTTTATATTTAATTATTATCTTAATCGGCAGGACCTTATTCGGTTTGAGTCATAGTAGACTCAAATTCAGTTCATAAATGGATCGGGTTTAACAAAATAACTTAAACTAGACCCATCTCACTAAAAGTTAGGCTCGACTCAAATATAATGGGATCCAGCAATTGGGCTTCGATTAAGCCAGGCTCAATTGCCGGTTATAATTGTGGGTAGGTTTTGCCAACATTTCTTTAATTAGTATGCCATTTATTAATAACTCGAAAAAGATCTCCAACAATTGAATATTTTATAACTATATTGGCCAAATGTCCTAACGAAAAGGGAAACAACTTTTTGGGAATCTGAAAATTATGAATCACAAAATTTCGATACAAAAATTCCGGCTTTGCCATTTTATTTGTCTTTAGAAAATATATACTCCAATGCATAACTAATTATTTACTAATTCTAACAATTTACATTAATTTTGATAAATTAATGTTAAAATCAATCCCGTAAGTTATGGTCTATCGATTGAAACAATTGAGTTGGTGTCAAATTGACCCAAGTTTGAATCTCGATGCCAACGATCGCAAAAAACCCCTATATTTTTGCTAAAAAAAATTAAATTATAAGGGAATTTTTGTCAATAAAATACACAGGATATTTTTTTAGGATATAACACAGAGTTGCTGATTAATTATAATAAACTCCAAACTTTGCACAAAGACATGATACATTTTCACCGGCCAAGAAAAGTTTCATATGAACAAAACAATAAGTCACTCTCCAACAAATAAAGTGAAGAAAGCCAAGAAAATGATGGATCTCACATGATCCAATATTCGAAAAGATTGACTATTAATATTAAAAAAAATTAAACATAATAACAATAAATAGGGTAAATTACACCTACACCCCTGAAGTATGCTGAAATAACTTTAAGGTCCCTATAGTATTGATAATTACAATCACCCCTGAAACATTGTTAGAAACTCTAACGGAATAATGCATTGGATACGTTATTCCCTATGCTGCACGGACACGGATACGTGGACACGGCGATACGCGGATACGGATACGGTGATACGGCATTTCCAAAAAACTAGGATACGGACACGCGGGGATACGCGTAAATATAAAAATTATAGGGATATATTTATAAATAATAAAAATATAGGGGTACATTTATAAATTGTAAAAAATATGTATAAGTCGTCATCGCATAAGAGAACCGCTCGCCCTTGTTGCTCGTGTTCTTCGTCGCCGTCGCATGCTAGACTTTTGGAGTTTTGAGTGAACTCACAAAGAAAACAAAGGAAATGTGTACTACAGAGAAAAGAAAATGTGTATTTTTTTTATAAGGGCTCTCTCTTAAAACGTAAGAGAAGTGTCCCAACTTTTTTAAAATTGTGGACACTGCCCGACACGGGTGTCTTACTTCTAGAGAAATTACGACACGGCCCGACACGGGTGTCCGAGAAGTGTCCGGGTGTGTCCGAGTGTCTAAGTGTCGGATACGGGGACATTCATCCCTTCTAGAAGTGTCCGTGCAGCATAGGTTATTCCGATAGAGTTCTAACAAACTATTAGTTTCAGGGAGTGGTGGAGACAACATAGAGCTAGGGGCTGTGGCGTATATATATAAATATTTACCATTAACAGTGAAATTCTTACAAGATTGTTTTTGTAGTTCAAGTGGCAAGGTGCGTTCACTACATTTTACATGGTGCAGGGTTCGATTTCCAATCTTCTACATGGTTCTTCAGTTTTTTATTTTCTTTTTTTTTTCTTTCTAATTTCCAAGAAATGCACATTTTTGTACCCTATAACTCTAATTTCTTTAATATTTTCATCAAATTTTTCTCTAAATATTTCTAAACTTTCCTAAAATTTGCAAATAATTTTTTTATTTTATTTTAAATTTTTACATATTTGTATTGTTTTGAGCTTATACTATTAAAAAAAAAGTTCGGGGGTGCTGCCCCCGAACCCCCAGAATTTTTCCGTCCATCATATTTATTAAATATTATTTAATTTTTTTTTATTATACTCACTTTCGAACACCCTTGGCGGAAATCCTGGATTCGCCACTGGCTAGGGGTGATTTAAGAAATGTCGGGAGAGTCACGTCACCCCATAACTCGATGTTGTCTCCACCACTTCCTGAATTTAATAGTCCGTTAAAAATTTATCGGAATCACGTATCTAATGCATTGTCCCGTTACAGTTTCTAACGATGCTTAAAGGGGGTGATTGTAATTACCGATACTATAGGGACATTAAAATTATTTTAGCATACCTCAGGGGTGTAAGTGTAATTTACCCTAATAAATAAATAATAAGAGATTTTCATGTAATTAAGTCAGCACTCACCATATAGCCCCTCCACTTCCCTTCTCTCTCTCTCTCTCTCTCTCTAATTTGTGTGTGAATTTGTGCAACTCTGAAAGCAGCAAATTCCATGCAAATTCTCTCTCTCTCTCTCTCTCTCTCTCTCTCTCTCTCTAGAAAGAAGGGATGGGTGTAAGGAATAAAGTAAGAAAAATATAAACATATAATAAATAAAAAAAAAGAGTCTGTTATGTAAATGAAAAGAAGAGAAAGAGAGAGAAAGAGGGACAAGCGGAGACTACACTGTCAGATGACTATCAATTGAAATATAATTAAA